ATAATTTTTTCCGGTAAGCCAGTAACCTTTTTGAACGACAAAATCCTTAGCATTAAATGGGACTGGTGGATTTGTGGGAGGTGGAGGCGGAGGTGGTTGTTGGTTAATAATCTCGGCCATTGAAGGGACAATCGAGAGGAACAAACAGCAGATATGTATTGAATCACAAAGAAAAAATACAAGGAAACCAAAAAACAAGCAGTAGGGTTGCAATAGAACTGCAATAGAATGAAAAAACAGCAATGATCCAAACACCCAAAAAAAAAAAAAACTGCAAGGATGACCGGCAGTGAAAAAAAGAAAAAAAAACACCGTTACAACGGCGGCTAGGGTTTATGCGGAAGCGAGACCCCTAAAAAACAGGAGCTGAGATACCATATTGTAAAATATTTCACTGATAGAATTAAAAGTTCTCTTTACAATGTTGCAACTACATGCTTTAAATAAGAGAGAATAGAAAACCTAATGGGTTTGACTAATGGGCCTCATTACTAATACTACTAATTACTATTTACAGTCTAATATTTACAACACTATCCATACTATTCAGAATCTATCAGAATGTCACGGATGAACAAAAGGATGCACATAAAGATTCGAAAAAGAAAGATTATAAAGCTCTTTTTATAATTCATCAATGCGTTTATCCAAACAACTTTGAAAAGGTTGAGGATGTAGACTCATCAAAGGAAGCATGGGACATCTTAGAGAAATCTTTTGGACGTGTTGAGAAGGTGAAAAAGGCGAGGTTACAAACTCACAAAAAGAATGTATGAATTACAAACTCACAAAACGAAAGTGTTACTTACTTCTTCACCAACTTAACGAGGATGGTGAATCAAATCAAGATGTGTGGAGAAGTGTTGACATCAAGATCGATAGTTGCAAAGATCTTAAGGTCGTTGCTTTCAAAATTCGATCATCTGATAGTAGCCATAGAAGAATCGAAGGATTTGTTAAGCATGACAAAAGAATAGCTTTAAGGGACACTTGAATCTCATGAACAAAGAATGGCTGAAAGATCTGCAAGCAAGACAAAGAGTGATATGGCTCTGCAGGCACAGTCAGCTAAAGATAAGAAAGGCAAAGGAAAATGAAATGGAAACAAAGGTAGAGAAGACTACAACAATTCGATTGGTAGAGGAAACCAACAAGAAGGTAGCTCATCAAATTAGAGACAATCTTCAAACCAAGTCAATCACAGAGATGGTGTTGCAGGGAAAGGAAGCGGTGATGGAAGAAACCCTGATAAAAGTCATATTCAATGTTATAACTGTCAGATGTATGGACATTATGCAAGTCAATGTCGAGTAGGCAAGAAAAAAGATCAAGAAAGTGATGCAAGACTTGCAAAACAAGAAGAAGATGAAGTATTGTTGATGGTCACAACAAAAGAAGAAGAAAGATTCAAATATCAGTGGTATCTCGATTCAGACTGCTCATCACACATGACTAGAAGGAGAGATTGGTTCATTAACATCAGTCCCTCGATAAAGAACAGGGAGAAATTTACTAATGGCAATACCCTAAGTGCAAAAGGTATTGGTGATGTTTTGATCATGAGGAAGGATGGCAAACAATTGTTGATTTCCAATGTGTTGTACATACCTAGTATGAAAAGTAATATGCTAAGTATAGGTCAGCTGATCAAGAAGAATAACAAGGTGGTGGTCGAAGACAAGATGATGAGAGTATTAGACTCAAATGACAAGTTAATTTTGAAGGTTCTCGTGTCTAATAATAGAACCTTAGCAAGGATGAATGGCTATGGCATTACAAACTTGGTCATCTGAATTTCAATGATATTAGAAACCTGAAGAGAAAGAACATGGTTTCAAGATTATAAGAAATTTGTATCCCCAAGTGAAGTGTGTGATGAATGTGTTCAAGCAAAGCAACACAAGAATAGATTCAACAAGGATGCAAGAAGCAAGTCAAAGGCCACTCTTGAAGTGATTTACTCAGATGTGTGTGGTCCTCTCCAGGTAGATTCAATTGGAGGTAACAAATACTTTGTTACATTTATAGATGATTACAGTAGAAAGTTGTGGACCTACTTGATCAAGAAGAACAGTGATGTGATTGATGTATTCACCAAGTTCAAAGTCATGGTGGAAAGACAAAGTGGTCACAAGATCAAGACTCTGAAGACAGATGGTGGTGAAGAATATGTGTCGAAAGGTTTCGACACACTATGTGAAAGAGAAGGAACTATGCATGAGGTGGTGCCACCATACACTCCTCAACAAAATGGTACTGATGAAAAGAAGAACAGAACCATTATGAATATGGTGAGAAGTATGTTAAGGGCAAACACTTACCAAATGAATTATGGGGTGAGGTTGTGTCCACTGCAACTTACATACTAAATAGATGTCCAACAAAGAGGCTATAAGATATCACACTAGAAGTATGTTGGTCTGCTGTTAAACCTAGTCTAAGCCACTTGAAGGTGTTTGGATCCATAGCACATAGACATGTGTCTGAACAATTGAGAAGAAAACTTGATGAGAAGTCAAGCCAGAGGATCCTGATAAGATATCAATCAACTGGTGGATACAAACTGTTCGACCCAGTAAACAAACAAGTTGTGATCAGCAGGGAAGTGATCATAGACGATCTTAAGGAATTGGACTGGATTGAAAACATCAAGGATTCAGTGAGAATCCTATGTGATGAACCAGCTAGTGAAGTTGACAGAGAAGTTTGACAAGAAAAAATCGAAAGTCAAGAAGGTACAAGCAGACCTTAAAGAACAAGAATCATGCCTGAAAGCTTGCAGAAATGTGTGATCACATCAAATGATGTGGTAGATGATGAAGGTGAGCTAGTACATTATGTCTTCTATGCAGATACCGAGCTAGTCAATGTAGTTGAGGCATCGAAAGACTCAAAATGGATGCACGCTATGGTGGAATTAAAATCCATAGAAGACAACAAAATCCGATCACTAGTTAAATTGCCACAAGGTAAGAAGGCAATTGATGTGAAGTGGGTGTACAAGGTAAAGCTGAATCCAAAGGGAGAAGTAACCAGACACAAGGAAAGACTTGTAGCAAAGGAATTTCTTCAGAAAGAAGGAATTGACTATGATGAAGTTTTTGCACTAGTTGCTAGGATCGAAACAATTAGGTTGGTTGCTGGTCTAGCAAACATGAATAACTGTTCCATGTGTCAGATGGATGTGAAATGTGCATTTCTGAACGACCCTCTAGATGAAGATGTTTATGTAGCACAACCAAATTATGTTGTGAAGCAAGGCCAAGAAGGAAAAGTATACAGGTTGCGTAAAGCCCTGTATGGACTCAAGCAAGCTCCAAGAGCTTAGAACAAGAAGATAGATAGTTTTCTAAGGGAGAAAGAGTTTATAAAATGCACAATTGAGCATGGTGTGCATGTCAAAAGAAGCAAGAGTGAGCCGGTTATACTTTGTCTCTATGTAGATGACATCTTGGTAACAAGCAATTGCTAGAAGGAGATTGAAGATTTCAAACATGACTTAAGCAAGGAGTTTGAAAGGTCTGACTTGGGAAATATCTCATACTTTCTTTGTATCGAATTCTACAAGAGTAGTAAAGACTTGATGATGCACCAAAGAAGATATGCAGGTGAAATACTCAAAAGGTTTGAGATGGAAGAATGCAATTCAACTTCGACACAGTTGAAACAAGATTGCAACTGATGAAAGATTAGATTGAAGATGACGTCAATCCAACACAGTACAGAAGACTTATTGGATTATTAAGATATGTCTGTCACACAAGGCCTGATTTAGTCAATAATGTAAGCATGGTAAGTAGATTCATGCAGAAGTCAAAGATATCCCATCTTGCAGCCACCAAGAGGATACTAAGGCACCTCATATAGCATTTTGTTACCTGCAATAGATGAAGGAAAAGAATGCAAACTTGTGGGATACACTGGCTCTAATTGGTGTGGTGATGTTGAGGATAGAAAATCCACAGCCGGATACGTGTTCATGTTGGATGGTGCACTACTTGCTTAGAGTTCAAGAAAAGAAACCTATTGTAGCATTATAATCATGCGAGGCTGAATACATTGTCACCTCTCTATGTGCATGTCAAGCAACATGGATGGTGAATTAGATCGAAGAATTTATAGGGAAGAATCATGGAGCAATGACCATGAAGATCAACAACATGTTTGCTATCAACCTGGCAAAAAGCCCGATAGCACATGGAAGAAGTAAGCACATCGAAATGATATTTCATTATCTAAGAGAACAAGTAGCGAATGGAAGGTTAAGCATGCAACACTGCAGACCAGAAAATCAGATTGCAGATATAATGACGAAGGTTGTGTAGGTCGAATTGTTCAAGAGATTGAGAACAATTATGAATGTAGATAGTTTAGACACAATGAATTAGGTGGTGTGTTAAATATGTAATTTTGTCTCAAGTAAGACTGTATTCGACAATGTCGAAGTCTGTATGAAGTTGTCAGAAGTTTACTTCGATAGAGTCTAAGAATGTGTATTTTCAACAGAAACTAAATCATTACTTTGTACTAACTTTTGTAATATAATTCAGTGCAATTGCACAGTGCAATATATTCTTCCTTCAAAATTATATCTTCTCTCAAACCTGGATATATCTTCTTTTTTCATCTCTTTAAATTTAAGTGCAAAGTAGAATCATCTTGCAATCAAGGTGTGGTTGATTCACTCAAGCAAGGGGTGAAACAAGAGGTGCGATCAATCAAAAAGATTGATTTTTGTTCATCAAAATTGATTCGAATTAACTCCAAGATTGGAGTTTAATTCCAACAACATTAACTTGTATTTATTGTAAATAAATAGATAAATAAAAACATTATAAATACAACCTTGTGTAATCTGATTAGACATGCAGAATATTTCAGATACCAATCAATGCATGATCAAAGTAACTTCAATACAAACATGCAGTCAAGCAGAAATAGTGTAAGAAGAGGAATTATCATAAACTAGTCATAAGTAAGCAAGAGTCACAGCTCTCTACCTCGTGCAGTGATTGCAGTAACCCCATGCTTGCACAAGGCCTACACCCCAACCACCACAGCCCATGCACATCTTTAAATTAGATGATTGGCCATCCACGTGACCAACTGATAAGGCCAATTTATCTGACACAGTTTCCTGAGCAGAATTTGGATGCTTCCATTGTGATACATGAGTTTTTGTATTGTAGTAATACTTGTGACCTTCAGCAAAATAAAAAGTAAATAAGATAACTTACAAAGTTCATAAACTGGGAGCAAAAGGAGATGAGAGAATTTGACTATGCAATGTATTATGCTTCTAATATTTATTAAACTAAAATCAAGCCACGGGTTAACTGACCCAACCACTCCAAAGAGGCAAAGACCATTGTCACGTGTGTTCAAGTATTTTAGTTTATCGTTTTTTTTTTATTGTCAAGTAGCCAAGTCACCTTTTAAAGGTGAACAACGTGGAATGTGACGGATTCGAACCTGTGTTCCTGCACTTGATGCCTCTACACAGCTATCAATTAAGTTGATTTAACGGGACATATTTTAGTTTATCTTAGGTACAAACTAGAATATATATTGAACCTGATTGCAAATAATAGATGGTCATTAGGAAAATTGTAATGTTTTCACAAAGTGAATTTGCACAAGGAATAAAGTATATTTACTAATTGCATAACCCAAGTATATGCAAAGAGGTCAAATGAATAAGAAGTCAAACACCAGAAAACTTAAGAGCAGAATTGTACAATGTGCCTCCATTGACGTGTTTTTTTTTCAATCTTGATTAATGATTGCTTTCTTATGTTGTTTATAAGAGGTTGCATTATCCAAATTCTGTGATTTTCTACTTTCAATCAACTGTTCCCCAAAAAAATGAAGAAAGAACTAGAACAAGCATTAAAATTTCAAGTACCAAGCCACTACACGTTTCCATTACCAAGGTTAGATTTCTTTCAAGTGTAACAATATCCAATTATAGATGTGGGTGTACTTGTGTTAGTGTAAATTTCTTTTCTTTCTTGGACTAAGATCACCGGATGATGATGATGATAGCTTTATTTGTGCAGCAGGAATTGCAGAAAAGTTTGAGAAGAAACAACTGATACATGCTGCAATTGAAAGAGGAAAAACAAAGTAGTAACAGCAACAAGATCCATGATATATTAGAAATCACAAAATTGCTTGATAGAAGTAAAACCATAACTGTAACAACTCTCAGGCTGGAATTCCTACTAAACCCACAACAACAACAAACCGATCACGAGAGGACTGCCATTAGCAAGCAAATTTGATTCCGGGGAAAATTTTCCAATTTCATATACAACTCAATCTTTCAGTTTCAAGTTATGGGATCCAGGGGATTCATTTTTCTGTTGTGTATTTCTTTCACCTTGAGGACAAGGTGAATCATTAGGGGCGGAGTATTGTTAGACTTCTGATATGACTTAACAATTATGTTTTTAAATAGCAATTATTATATTATTAAGAGTTGTTAGTGGAGAATTATTATATTATTAGGAGCAGTTATATTTTATTAATTATGTAGGTTTATGTTTCGAATAAATAGAGGAAGTTAAGGGAGAGTTTATCATCATGGAATTTGATAGGAAAAGAGGCCATTTTGACATTGAAAAGTGCAGACCCTCGAAGTTCTGCAATTTACTTTATAATTCAGAGGGATTTTTCCTATTTTCTTTTATATATCAGTTGGTTTCTATCATAGAACTTTATATAAAATGAAATTCATAAAATGACCAAATGTAACAGCAGGATATTTATGTGATGAACCTGATGTTTCGTCCAATGCTTCCACCCAATTTTCCGAAAGATTCAAAGACGGTGTTGATTGCTCAGTTAAGGATGCTTCGCAAGGTTTTTCCCATTGACTCTTCCCAGTACTTTCATTATAATAGTAAAATGCACCACTTCCCGGATCTTTTGCTTCCACCTTCATGACAAACTAGTAATTAATATGATAGTAAACAGTAGGGTACAAATAAAATAAAAAATCCTAAAGAGGAAATGATAGAATTCTTGTAAATTGAGCTCAGAATGGGAGATGAATAGTCCCCAATTATATACCTTTAGACCTAATTATGAATTTCAAATCTAATCTAAGATGGGATATTGTTGGAATTTCCGGCTTAATTGCGGTCCGCCCCTAATCGACTTAATTGTGGCATTTACCTCGCTTTAATTTCGTACTTCTTCCGGTAGCTGTCTGTCCAGCCGCTGTCTCTACACTTTCCGGAAGCCATTCTTCCAGTTTACTGCCACCGTTGATACAACTCTGCACATTTTTCAGCAGCTGTCTGCACAGTACCAGACGGTGTCTCTACATTTTCTGGGTTGATTTTTTTATCGAATCTTGTTTTAATATCTTATACATAAATATTTGAGGGTTGCTTCTGTTTTCTTTATGACCAATATTATGGAAAAGTCATCAAGTAATTGCAGTGTGGCCTATTCTGGTAAACTTCCACTCTCCTTTGGATTTCATGTCTCAAAAACACCTTGCTTATTTTGGATATTAGATTCAAGAGTCACAGACCACATGACACACTCTTCGAAACAGTTCTCCACATATTTCCCTTGTCCCAGGAATAAAAAAATTTCAACTGCAGATGGTACTCTTGTAACTGTAGCTGGCATTGGAGATATCCAAATAAATCATTCTATAATCCTAAAAAGTGTCCTCCATGTTTCAAAACTACCCATGAACCTAGTCTCCATACAAAAACTTACAAACGATTTATCATGTATTGTGACTTTTCATAATGATTGTTGTATATTTCAAGATAAGGAGTCGGGAAAGACGATTGGACGTGCTAGAGAAAGGAATGGCCTTTACTATCTTGAAGAATCAGGTCAGTGTACAAAAGTTCACTTGTCCCACTCATTTATGTCAAAGTCAGTACTCTCCAAAAAAGGAAAAAATCTTTCTTTTTCATTGTGATTAGGTCATCCTTCTTTTGAAGTCATTAAAGTTTTGTTTCCATCTTTATTCAATAAAGTAGATATTGAAAGTCTTCATTGTGATGTGCGTGAGGTTGCTAAACATAAATGTCTACCTTTTTCATCAAACAACAAAAGAAGTCTTTCCCCCTTCTATCTTATTCATTCAGATGTTTGGGGTTCCTCTACCAATCCAAATGTAACAGGTACTAGATGATTTGTTACTTTTATAGACGATTGTACCCAAGTTACTTGAGTGTTTTTACTCCAAAACAAGTTTGACGTCAGTATTGTTTTCCCAAAGTTTTTCTACATGATTAAAAATCAATTTGGAGTGAACATCAAAAGGCTTAGGTCTGATAATGGAAAAAAGTACTTCAATCATGTTCTTACTTCTTTCTGTCAAAAAGAGGGAATTGTCCATGAGTCTTCTTGTGTTATAAAACACCACAACAAAATGGAATTGCAAAAAGAAAAAATGGGCATCTATTAGACCAAACCCGAGCACTGTTGTTTCATCAAAATGTTACAAAATATTCTGGGGGGAGACCGTTCTCACTAGCACATATCCTATTAATCGATTACCTTCTAGAGTATTAGGGTTCAAGAGTCTTATGACTATTATTTCTTCCTTTTATCCAAATTTGTCAATAAGTAGTAATCTTAAACCTAGAATCTTTCGGTGTGTCTCATTTGCCCATGTGCATAGTCAAGACAAAAAAAAATTCGACCCTAGAGCCCTAAGATGTGTTTTGGTTCAGGTATTCCTCTACTCAAAAGGGATATAAGTGTTTCCATCCTCCATCTAAAAGGTTTTTTGTGTCTCGGGATGTTACCTTTCATGAGGAGGAACCATACTCCACTCAACCTTATCTTCAGGGGGAGAATTTTAAGGAAGATAAGCTTGAAAGTCTTAATCTTTCTGGTCTTGAGTCAAATACACTCAATTTGTCTAGTATTAAGTCAAATGCATCTGGTCATTCTGGCCATGACTCAAATACACTCGATCTCTCTCATTCTGGTCATGACTCAAACACACTCAATCGCTCTGGTCTGGAGTCAAATCCACCTAATGCTTCCAGCTTTGAGTCAAATAGGCCCAATCTTCCTGGTCTTGAGTTAAACACACTTGTAACAGACCCATCTGAGACTGAAGAAGTAAGAGCTGAGTCAAATCAATCAAATACACTAGTAGCTGAACTTGGACCTGAAGTGGATGTAAGATATGGAAAGAATCTGGTTTACATGAGAAAGTCAGAGGCCATTTCTGAATCGACACAAGTTCAAGAGTCTGACTCGACTCCTTCAAATGAGGTAATTAATTCTTCTGAATTACAAAATAAAATGATGACCCAAACTACAGATGATGACCTAAAACTTTCAATTGCTATTAGAAAAGGTACCAGAAAATGCACCAAACAGTCTTTTTATATCCCCTTTCAAACTATCTTTCTTTTCAAAAATTCTCACCTACCCATAGAGTCTTCCTTACAAACTTAAATGCTACTTCCATACCCACTCATGTTTCTGAGGCACTGTCTGATGAAAAATGGAATCAAGCCGTGAATATCGAGATGGACGCGTTAAGAGGAATGGAACTTGGAAGTTAGTGACTTTACTAGAAGGAAAGAGGTCGGTTGAATGCAAATAGGTGTGCACAGTAAAATATAAGGCTGATGGGTCAATCGAAAGATATAAAGCCAGGTTGGTTGCCAAAGGGTTTACACAAACCTATCGAATTGACTATTCAGAGACATTTGCTCCGGTTGCGAAGATGAAGACAGTGAGAGTAATTTTGTCATTTGCTACCAATTATGGTTGGGATTTACAACAATTTGATGAGAAGAATGCCTTCTTACACGGAGAACTTTAAGAAGAGATTTATCTGCAGGTACCACCGGGGTATGAAAAAAAACGTGTCAGACAATTCAGTTTGCAGGTTGAAAAAGGCATTATATGGACTAAAACAATCACCTCGAGCATGGTTTAGAAGATTCACTAAGGTTATGACATCTTTAGGGTACAAGCAAAGTCAAGGGGCTCACACCTTGTTCGTCAAACACTCGCCACAAGGGGGAGTAACAGTTCTGTTAGTATATGTAGATGACATTATAATGACAGGAGATGATTGGAAGGAGCAACAAATCTTGAGTCATTGTTTGGCTAAGGAGTTTGAAATGAAAAGTCTTAGAAAGCTAAAGTACTTCTTGGAAATTGAGGTGGCACATTCCCGAAAAGGCATTTTTATATCTCAACAAAAATACATTACATATTTACTCAAAGAGACTGGAAAAACAGCGTGTAAACCTGCGAGTGTACCTATGAATCCAAATCTTAAACTATGTAATGCAGAAGAGATGTTGCAGTAGATAAAGAAATGGATCAACGTCTATAACAAGTGATACATACCCATCCTGGTGGCAACTTTTCATTTCCCCTAAGTTCAGCTGAAGTACCTTTCTGAAATTCAAAAATGGGTAATTTGTAAGTTAAATTATCAGGTTGAAAATAATACATTGTAAAATGTCTAAGAAACATGAGAACTGAAAATCAAATTCTAAATTAAAAATGCAGCACAATATTTTTGAAAGTTCAACATCACCACAGCCTCCAAAGATGGAAAAAACTAAATAAATTAAATAGAAATGAATAAAACCAAAAGCTGGTGGTGAAGAAGAGGGGGAAAAGAATAACAATAACAAAGGTAAGCTAAAACCAATATTCTTACAATATCTTCGGTATGTATATCATCTTTAAGAATACCCCGAGCTCTTAACTTCTGCTTGAGGAACTCGGGCAATTCTTTACCTGCAGATGTCTGCTCTGAAAATCTATCAAGTTTAGATTCGGGCCGACTGAATGCACTGTCATCTGCTCCACAGTTTTGGAAGCAAAAAAGTTAATATATAGCCACTAGCTCAGTTATTGCAATGTCAAAAGGATGCAGCAGCATGACTAAAATAATTTTGGAATTATACTTACCAGGATCAGTGTTAAGCTTGTGAATATCATTATAGGCACCTCCACCAGGTACACCATATCCATTGCCTATTTCTGTGTTGACTGATAAGGCATATATATCAGTTGGATTCTTTATGTGTAATACAATTATAGACGAAATTAACCAACAACAGTGAACTAATGTGTATGGGAAATTCAGATAGTTATGGGAATTAATCAGAATTAATATGGGAACTAATCGAATTAATATGATTCTGATTTGTATTTATTTAATGTGGAAGGCTGTAGAAAAAGGTACTAAGTTGTTTCCTTATTAGTATTAGCTATAATGAAGATCAATTTTCCTCCTAATCCTTAGCCCATAGAATTGATTACACTACAGGATCAGTATCCGTACTATTTATTTCCTCCTCTGTATCATTTTAGAATCAACAAGTGAATATAATCTTTACTTTTCCGCATGATATCAGAGCTAGATCTTAACCATCTGTTGCCCTTTGCTTCAGCCCTATAATGTCCTCATCTCCTAAATCCTCTTCCTCCAGGGTTTAGAATGGTACAACTATAACCAGTCCCACTGAAAGAATAAATCATCTTCACCTCCTATCATTGGTCATTAACTAAATGGTCAGAATTTTATTCAATGTGAAAGGTCAGTGCGACTCTTCCTCCAAGGAAAAGGGAAAGAAGGATATACTACTGGAACAATTGCAGAGCTTAAAAAAGGAGACTCTGATCGTGGAAAAATGAGTGTTGGAGAACAGTCTTGTCCTGTCTTGGCTTTTCAACATAATGACCAATGAAATTGATGAAAATTTTATGTACTATGACACAGCTAGAGAAATGTGGGAGGTTGTGAAAGAAATCTATTCCAACCAAGATAACACATCTGCTATCTTTGAGATCAAAAGCATTCTCCATGATCTTCGACAAGGAGAGCACTCTATCACCGAGTATTTCAACTCTCTCAACCTGCACTGGCAGCAGCTGGATATCTGTGAGGCAATTGAATGGAAGTGACAAGAAGATAAGAAACAGTATAAAGACTTGGTGTATAAGGACAAAATCTACAAGTTTTTATTGGGTCTCAACAAGGACCTTGATGAAGTGCATGGAAGGATCCTTGGCACCAAACCACTTCTCAACCTCCGAGAAGTGTGCTCAGAGGTAAGAAAATAAAGTAGAAGAAAATTAATGCTAGAAAACACCATTTCTGCCCACTTGCATAAAGTTAAGCCTTGGCAATAAAAAGAATCCAAACTCGGTCGATGGCTCGAAAAAACCCTCCTTGATGTGAGCATTGCCAAAAACTACGCCACATAAAGGATACATGTTGGGTCCTTCATGGGAAACCAACTGAAGCAAGGCCATTCTGGCCTAATGAAACCAGAGGTTACACGGCCAACAGCTACACTCAAGAATGTGAAACTAGTTAAGGCCCTTCTCCCTTCAGCAACGAACAAATGGATGCATTGCAACAACCCCTTCAGCAAAACCATGAGGACAGAAAAAAATGTCGGTACTACTGCAACTATGATCCAAACAGGTAATTTTTTACATGCTTTAAATACCAGTCAAGAAAAGTCAATGCAAAACAGCCAACACACCCATAAAAGTAACAAAGGGAAGCAAATTCAAAGAAGAAACAATTCTGACTGAGGCAGAAAGGCACCAAAACTTAGTGGGAAAATTAATCTATTTGCGAACAAAGCAGACCAGATATTGGATCTGCCGTAAGTATGGGTATGGCAAGCCGCCACATGTCAAATCCCACATAGGCAAATATGGCAAATGTAAGAAGGATCTTACAATATCTTAAAGGCACTCCTAGAAAGGGTTTGTAAAGGAATTGAAGTTTACACGGATTCAAATTGGGCAGCATGTGCTTTAGATAGAAAATCCACGTTTGGCTATTGTTCATTTGTATGGGGAGAAACATGATTGCATGAGGAAGCAAAAAGCAGTTTGTGGTAGCTAGAAGTAGTGCAGAGGCAGAAGTAAGCCATGGCAGCAAGAATATGTGAAAGAGTGTGGCTAAAGAGGATGGTTGAAGAGCTGAAAATTTCTTACAATTGCGTGGTGAGAATTGTGTGTGACAATAAGGTTGCTAAAGGTAATTTCAATAAATTTTTCTTGAATTTTTCAGACTGTGGAAAGTTGTTAGTGCTCTATAAATCTGCCCTAGTGAATTATGTGCATCAGACTGTGGAGAGTTGTTAGTGCTCTATAAATCTGCCCTAGTGAATTATGTGCATTACGAACCTTACCTCCAGTCATATGAGCTAAAGGCAAGTAAATAATCAAACTCCAGTATATGCAGAGAAAAGACATAGAGATGAAAGTGACGTAAAGAAGTATAAAATAAGAAATCCTCCTAAAGACCTTGTGGACGTGCAGGTTTTCCACGATTAAGAGCGATTTCAGACCTATGCTCAGTGGCCATATTCAAGAGATATTCCTGTTTTTTTGTTGTAAATAAATAAGTAAGAGGAATTGCATGTTTATAAAGAAATGGAAGTAAAATAGAATGATGATATGACAAACCTTCAAAGCATTGGGGTGATGACGGGCAGAGAATATGTCTAAATCATCCTTGGAAGGTGATGTGGTAATTGTCATCTCTCTAAATTAGATTGGCAGAACAAAAACACCTAACTTGGTGATTCTTATTATGTAAAATCGCAAACACATAGTATTATAAAATCCACAAAACCGATCATACATACCTCTGGGTCCTTATGATATTTTGGGTAGCAAGTTCCTAAAAAGAATGGAAAACAATGAGAATAATTTATGTAAAGAGAAGTAAGGAAATAAAAAATGTAAAAAAGAAAAGAGATAGAGACTTGTTCCCGCAAAACAGCATCCTGCGCGGCAGCATCAATGTTAAATTGTAGCAGAGACTGAGAGCATTGAATAGCATTATGATTTCCAGATATAAGGGTTTGAGAAGGGAGGGTTGCTTGTTGATCTTGGGAATTCTCCATAATTTAATCACATCAATAAAAATCGAGTGTCAATGAGTGATTCCAAGTGTAGAAACTAGGATTGAGGATTGTAGCGACAAGGAGATAGATAAAAAGCGTGGTAGTAGTAGTAGTAACCGCGAGAATTGCACAGCTTGTGTGTGAGAGAGAAATACAAACCACTGCGTTTAACCACTGCGTTTATGCCCGGCGGGCGTGACAAAGGGGCGGCTGAGCTGAGGACGGGTGAATTTAACTGCCACCCCAAATTATACCTGCACCCCCATCTTTAATATTTTCAAAACTACTCCTCGATGAAAAAGGACAAAATTTCTGTATAAAATTTCGGATAGTTATATTGAAATTTTCGTGCTTAATGAAATTTTCGATGGTGTATTTGAAATGTTTAGGATATTGAAAATTTTAAAATTTTCGGTAAGTTACATTTAGTTTTGGAAATTTGTGTTGATATCAGAAATTTCAACATTTTCGGTATATCAGAAATTTTAACGGAGCTTCCTCTCCGGTAGAGTTTTGAGTTTTAGATGGCACCACGTCTCTTGTCAGCCTGACGTCCAAGTTAAATGAATTGTTGCTTGATACCGAAAACATAAATGTGAGAAAGATCGAGTTTTGGAAAGATTTGATTGATATTAACAGGAGAGTGAAATACAACCTTATTGAGTTGAAGATCGACGACGATGTCAAGAAAATGTGGAGATCATTTCGCCGTAGGATAATAAAAGGGCTAGTCGAATTAGATGTTAAGCTTTCAAGATTTGTTGACAATATAATGGGAAATGTTGAAACGTCCAGAAGCGTCTCGTGGTGTTTAGGTGTTTCTTATTTATTAATCATATTGTAGTGTTAAGTTTTTTCTGTTTAAGTTATGTAATCCATTGTCAGATGGCAGTTAACGTTCACGTTGCAATTTAAGAAAGGTCGATAATATTGGTAAATAAAGATGTTTGAATAATATACAAATGAAGATGTCTGAATAATATACAAATGATACAAATAATGCATAATACAAAACATATCTAAATAGGCCCTTCACGAGCTATGTGTGTAGCCCGAGATAATCTTGTTTAAACCTTGTCATATGGGTTTACTAAACCCATGGAGTTATCCATAATTATTGCAATCATCTGGAGGCATTGGCGTGATCTGTTAGAGGAGGCGTCGACACATCATCAACAAGTACCCCGACATTATAAGGCCCAGCATCAGCTGCAAGTGGGGAGATGCGATGGTGTGATATAGTGAGATACCACTCTAAGTAATCATCCTCACACTACGATGGGTGTTGAACAGTGATTGCTCGATCTCTGATGGCATGACCATAGTTGATGAAGTGACTCTGAAATCACCAATCAATACCTGAAGATGGTATATCTAGAGCTAGTCGTGGGATACTCTAAACATAAACATATCACAGACACCTCTCAGGAAAGTGTCTAGCAACCATGGTCTCCCACCACATATAACCTGAATATAATGACTACTCCACGAATTCACGGTGGACTCTATGACCAATGTATGGTGCCTATATGACATCATCTACCGTCAGCGCATCGAGCTTCCTCATGTACTCAGCAACACCATCGGGATGTCCTTGTCTGGCCTTCCACCTCTTTGCTTGTGAGGGACCCCCACCTCGCAATGTTGCACCCTCTTGTCACATATGGTGGGGAAATGCTCATATATCCAGCATTATTGATAACGCAAAAATGTATCGTTTATTTCGACTCGATTCACATGCAATTTAATGTCGTTTTACTTGTTTTCGAATTATTATGTCGTATCATATTTGTGTTTCAGGTATTTGTCGAATAAGAGCGCTCGTGCAAGAAAACTGGGAAAAGAGCAAAGAAATGAAAAAAAAGTGCAGAAAAGAGTTTTTCTGGTACATGGCGTTCGCCATGTATCAGGAAGCCACGTCATTTAATGAAGAAGGCAATGGTGAACTGGCGTTCGCCATTATCCTGCAGAACGTGAAATCAGTTGAAACTCCTTATGTCCACTTCCTTCTTCTTCTCCAACTTCCTAGCACGTCCAGAACGGTTACAAGGGTCCCCAAGCTCTATATAGAGGAGTCTTCTTCACATTTCAGATCATCTAAGTTGTGCGAAAGCGCTATCGTTTTTGTTTTCTAGTTTTAGGCATAAAATTACTTGTAAAAGTGACAATCGCTCACATCGAGGGATTGTCACAATTTTGTATTTTGTTTTTGTTTTGTTTTGTACTTTTGGATCAGCAACAAGCTTGTCGGCATTAATCGAAGTTTTATTTGTTCTTTAAGTTCTGTTCTTACTTCTACTTTACAGGTTTTTATTCGCTTTAATTTAATTTGTGTTATACTGCATTCTTCTGCTTTATGATATGTTGTCCTTAAATTTAATTACTGCATTCATGTTGTTTTTGTTCGAAATAATTTCTGACTAAACTTGTCTGAGTCTGGGTATGAGTGTCGCTACTCGAAAATGCAATGACGGAGAGGCGAAAACGGCAAGACAGAAGAGTCGCCATCGAACTTTATTTATCCCATGAGGGGAAGGGAAAACATCGAGAAAACTCTAAGAAAGGAACAAATAAGATGGTCTCGCAACCAAGAAAACAGGTTCAGAAGCCGGTTATGCGTGGGGAAGGTATTAGCACCCCTCGCGTGAAGGTATCTGCTAAAAGATTATTGTTTGTCTATGCGTGAAGGTATCTGCTAAAAGATTATTGTTATCCAGAGTGTTCCAAGGGATAAAGAGAAAGGTTAGAAACAGGGAAAAGAAAGATAAAGGGGAAGAAAAGACTCGATAGGACATCGCCGCCCTATGCCTACGTATTCTCAACGGGTATGAGAAAGTCATAGTCAATGTAGTTCGGGAAACTACGGGTGTTGGGTGTAACATCCCCTATCTATACCCCCAAATAAATCACATAATCAATTAGTCACATATTAAAAATTTCATCAGAGTATAATTATAAGCATGGTATAAAAGGGGCGAGTCACATTACGCATGAAATTAAAACATACAACACCTGTTCAACAAAAGATATGCAACAGTGGGGTAACTTTGCAATAGAGGAACTTAGTCCTTACACCCACATCTTAATATTTAGAATAAAAGCGGAAAATCTAAAAATTGAATAACATCAAACATACATACATATATACATCATCCATAATTATACAACAACATAACTACCCGGTGCTACATATCAGAGCCAATCGACCAAAAGAATGAAGACACGCTTCACAAAAAGACCTCCAGCATACCTACTATACAATACCTCATAGAGCACCATAAAACAGCAGAAGGGTGAGAAATATTATCATAACAACAATGCATATAATTATATATTTCATAGCATAAAATACACATATTCTGCATTCTCACCACCGTTCATCACAACACACTCATATACATCACAATGTGTGTGTGTGTGTGTGTGTGTGTGTGTGTGTGTGTGTGTGTGTGTATGTGTGTGTGTGTGTGTGTGTGTGTGTGTGTGTGTGTGTGTGTGTATATATATATATATATATATATATATATATATATATATATATATATATATATATATATATATATATATATATATATATATATATATATATATCCAAGCATATAGAAACCCCGGCGCATTAGAAACCCCGAATGGCATCACGGAATATTCGTAATGGCCATACCGTGTCCTAAAGGCTGTCTTTTGAATATCCTTTCCTTTCACACGAATCTGATGATATCCCGATCTCAAATCAATCTTGCTAAAAACACACGCACCAACCAATTGGTCCATCAAATCGTCGATCCTTGGAAGCGGATACTTGTTCTTAATTGTCACCTTGTTCAATTGTCAATAATCAACACATAACCGCATACTCCAATCCTTCTTCTTTACCAACAATACCGGAGCACCCTAAGGAGAAACACTTGGCCTTATAAATCTCTTGTCCAACAATTCATTCAATTGCTTCTTCAATTCTACCAACTCCGATGCCGATATACAATATGGTGTCATCGAAACTGGTCTAGTACCCGAAACTAGATCAATAGAAAACTCAACTTCTCTTTCCGGCGGTACATCTGTAATATCCTCTGGAAACACTTCTGGAAAATCACACACCACTGGGAACACATCGATCTCAACTTTACTCTCCACCGACAATGATGCAAACAAACCGAACAATTGAGCTTCGTCCGCTAAAAGTTTCTTTAACTCTTTAGTGGATAGGAAACTCTCATCTTCATCATCTTCCAAAGAAGGAAACCTCACTAACTTGTGGTAGCAATCTATATGAACTCGATTAAATTGCAACCAGTTCATACCCAAGATTACGTCCAATCCCTCCTAATGGCAAACATATTAAATCCATAATGAAGTTTTTACCATACATGGTCAAAGGACAACTTACACACACCAAAGATGTAGTTACCGACCCCGAAGCGGGAGTCTCAATAACCATCTCACCACCCCAAGAAGTCACGAACAAATTCAAACGCTTAGCGCACTCATGAGAAATAAACGAATGAGTCGCTCCAGTATTAATAATAGCAACTAAAGGCGTACTATTAATAAAGCATGTACCTTTAATCAAACGATCTACACTAGTAGTGTCTGACCCAGCTAATGCAAATACCTTTTCGGTCGTTTGAGCTTGTTTTGGTTTAATACACTTAGTACTAATGTGACCCACTTCTCCATAATTATAGCACTTCAATACATTCCTCCTACAATCAGTAGTAGCATGCCCAAGGCCTCCACAGTTAGAACATTTCACTACGGTCTTCCCACACTCAAATGATTTATGACCTAACTCACCATACTTGTAACACTTAACGGAACCAAAACCTCCTCCTCCAGATCTCTTATCAAAGTTTCCCTTATGCTTGCCTTTATCCACGGGTGTCACATAAGGTCCACTTCTAGCTTGTTGTTTCCTTTTCCTCTCATTCAAACTTTTGTAATGTGTAGAACGAGCCTTGCTATCTTCCTCGAAGATTCTACAACATTCCGTCAAATCCGTAAACCTTCTTATCCTTTGATATCCCACGGCTTGCTTAATCTCGGGACGCAAACCATCCTCATATTTAATACACTTTGAGAACTCAACAGTAATTGCAGCATAGTGAGGATGAAATTGAACCAACTCCACAAACTTAGCAGTATAGTCCACCACAGACATACTACCTTGTTTCAGTTCAAGGAACTCCATCTCCTTCTTCCCTTTCACACTTTCAGGGTAATACTTCCTCAAGAACTCAGTACAAAATAAATCCCAAGTTATCTCTTCATCATCCACCTCAAGAACTTGATGCATACTGACCCACCAATCGTCGGCTTCTTCCTTCAGCATGTGAGACCCAAGTATCACCTTATTCCCCTCCGCACAGCCCATGACTCTGAAGATCCTTTCAATCTCTTTCAACCAAATTTGAGCACCATCGGGATCAAATCTTCCTTTGAAGACCGGTGGTTGATTCTTCCTGAACTCATCATTAGCATTCACGTTCGGCGCACCTTGCACCACCCTAGCCATTGCTTCCAAAGCAGCAGCCATCGCATTTTCGTTTCGACCAGCCATATTCTGACCATTCCCAAAAATAACAACAAGGTTAAACAACCGTCAACCAACACAACAATAAGACAGACACAATTGACTCAACACTAGCTCTGATACCACTTAATGTAACACCCCCTATCTATACCCCCAAATAAATCACATAATCAATTAGTCACATATTAAAAATTTCATCAGAGTATAATTATAAACATGGTATAAAAGGGGCGAGTCACATTACGCATGAAATTAAAACATACAACACCTACTCAACAAAAGATATGCAACAGTGGGGTAACTTTGCAACAGAGGAACTTAGTCCTTACACCCACATCTCAATATTTAGAATAAAAGCAGAAAATCTAAACATTGAATAACATAAAACATATATACATATATACATCATCCAGAATTATACAACAACATAAGTCATGTTTTCATAAACATTCGCCAACAAGATACATATACAAATGTATCACAAAAGAATCATGAATAACCTAGCTACCCGGTGCTACATATCAGAGCCAACCGACCAAAAGAATGAAGACACGGTTCACAAAAAGACCTACAGCATACCTACTCTACAATGTCTCATAGAGCACCATAGAACAACAGAAGGGTGAGAACTGTTATCATAACAACAATGCATATAATTATATATCTCATAGCATAAAATACACATATTCTGCATTCTTACCACCATTCATCACAACACACTCATATACATCACAATGTGTGTGTGTGTGTGTGTGTGTGTGTGTGTGTGTGTGTGTGTGTGTGTGTGTGTGTGTGTGTGTGTGTATATATATATATATATATATATATATATATATATATATATATATATATCCAAGCATATTCATCATGCATACTTCCACAATTCCATCATTCCACATAAACATACACAATTATGTTCATTCACCAATGCACCATTATAAAGATGATAAATGCAAATCATATAGACCGACTCACGACTCTATGCAAATGCAATGCGGTACCGACTCAATCATCTCAAGTTCACTCAGGAACTTATTGGAACCATCGCTCACACCTCACATAGGCACACGATGTTCACCTATTGCTCACACCTCACATAGGTACACAATGTTTATGGATTGCTCACACCTCACACAGGCACACAATCGTTTGTAATCATCGCTCACACCTCACATAGGTACACAATGTTACAACGGATTCTCATTAGAATCCCACAACACAAGAATGCACATCATTATGCTTCACATGAAAAATGACTCAAGACACTCTTGAAATGCATACATATTCACAATATATTCATGCATTCATCTCATACCATCACATACAATCGATATACACAATCACATCAATTACGCCAAACGGAAACGAGCATCGCTTTACCACCTAAACGGCAACGAACTCTATCACAATTATCATGCATTTACATTTAATTCAAACAATGCATATAATTTGCCAAAAGGTCGCAATTCACAATAAATTCCACAATCTAGGATTCACGCCATACGGCTACCCACAACATATCATATAACAGCACACAAGCTACACATTTGGGATAAGGTTAATCACATCCGAGTTGAAGAATCGATATTGGATGGAATAAAAAGAAAATGTTGTGTTGTCATGCTCGCTAGGCGAGTAGAATGGTGAGCCTTTCGCTACTCCACTCGCTCCAGCGAGTTTGGGTCTTTTTGGTTCTGTCCAAGTCTGGGAGTGTTCGTTGGCAGCTCGTTGGGTGCTCGCTTAGCGAACCCTTCGCTACCTCACTCGCCAGTGAGTCGCCTAGCGAATACTTCGCTACACAAACCCTCAATAACCCAAAAATGTCAGAAAGTCACAAGATCACCCGATTTTATTCAAACAAGTTCCAATAGTCTCGGCCTAATATTCCTCGACTAAACTACACAATTTATTTCGAATTCTAACCGTGAAAACATCAGTTTCTATCGATTTAATCCAATTCGACCTAAAATGAAAATATGTAGAAAAACAACCCAACAATCCAAACAACACATACATAATCATACACATTGATGAGATAATAAGATTTCATACCCTTACCCGATTAAATCGATTCTTAGAAGTTGTTTTGAAGATCTACAAGCTTTTCCTCTTTTTCTTCTCTTCTTTTTCTTCTTTCCTTCTCTTTTCTCTCCTCTTTCTCTCTTATAACTTTCTATTCTAATTCCTTCTCTTACTTTTTCTCTCAAAGTATCTAATAATTCATCTTCTCACAAAATATCTAACTTAACATTAATTAAGAAATATCTAAAATACCCTCCAACCTAATTTCCCCGAAAACTCTCAAAGACGATAAAATAACACAATATGCAAACATAACATATTAACACACCAATTCCACAAATAAAATAATAATCACCCAAATAAAATAAAAGACTCAACAAAAATGGGAAATCATAATCGAGGCGTTACATTGGGGGGGAAGGTTGCTCGCCAAGACACCGCCGTCTTGTGCCTACGTATCCTCATCTGGTATGAGAAATCAGAGCAAACGTAGTTCAGGCAACTACCGGAAAAGGTCTCGATCGCACTAGGGCGAGAGAAAAAGGTTTGAATAATAGGTTAGTCTCGATTGCACTGGGTCAAGAGAAAGGGGAAGTTAGTTGTTAGTGTGCTCGCCAAAGATAGAGATCCATGTGCCTACGTATCCTCATTAGGGAATGAGGAATCGGAGCAGTCGTAGTTCGGCCTACGAATAACTGGTGTTTTTTATGGATGATGCTAGCGTGCGCATTCTAGTAGTTAGGTGCATTACAACTCGCTTGTGGAGTCTTAGGCATTACCTGTTTGCAATTGAACGGATGTACCATATCCTTTTTGAAAAGAGAGTTTTCACCATCGAGGCAAGATGTCGCATTTGATTTGTGGAAATTATTTTTAGGGATGAAATAGGTCCTCGGATAGTAACCCCTTACGGGTAGTACCCAATTCTTTATCTCAAAGATTTAATGTGAATAGGTGTGGCGAATTCAGTCACGTCTTCATATTGAAAGACGAGTATCGAGACCACACACTTTACAGTGAGTATCCTGACACTAGGAGAGAAAGAAGTCTACACTCAATCCTATCTCTTTAGCTCAATACAAAGAGAACTTTATTCTCTTATTAAAAATGTTTTTTGATCTTGAATGGTAAGTGCTTTATGACAGTGAACTCTAAAGGTCATGTCAAGCACTCGGGATAGGAGAAAGCCTACGCCTAACCACTCCACAACCATTCAAGTTTTATTAGGAAAAGAGTTTGAAAATGCACTTGATACGAGACCAAGGTTTTAGGAGAAAGTTGTAAAGAGAACAGGTGGTGAACGACAAGAAAACACGAAGCATCGCAATCACAGACAACATTAGGTATCGAAACTAAAATTAATATTTACAGAAAAAATATGTACAAGTATCGTAAAAGAAAAGTATTCACAAACGCATTCAAGAATTAATTGAAAGCTAAAGCCAAAATTAAGAACAAAATTAGTTCAAAAAAATAAATTAAATTCAAAAGTTAAAATCTAATTAATAATAGAATTAAAAATTAATCTAAAAGAAAATATAATTAAAATTAAAATCTATAACAAAAATAAATAATTCAAAGTTAACTTCTAAAACTAAAATTAAAAAAAACAAACAAAAATTGAGAACAAGTCTTAAGAAAGAAAAAAAAGGTGGGATGTGCAGTAAGGAAAAACGGGGTGCAAGCAGTAAGATCTGGAAAATGCCAACCATACCACTCACGAACTCTCATGGCATATGTGTTTAGCTCTTTATCAAGATCATCAAGTAAACCAATAGCTTGGACGATCATCGTATCCACCTTGTCGGCACTAAACTTCAACTTGTATTTGGATAAGCTATGAGACAAACCCAAGCTCATTGGAGCCATGTCTTGAACAGCTAGACCTACTATGAGTTTGGTCAACTAGTATCTGATACCTCTCATCAACTCCATGACACCAATGTGTGAACACAGTCGAGTTGCAATTTTTCCTTGATGATACTCACAAGCTTTGTATCAGCTACACCTAATGTTTCATTTTGGCAATGAAAACTTAAAAACTTGCGTAAATCCTTACTAGCTTTTCCATCAATCAATAAATTAGCTGACTTTAGAGCTTTTGATGTATTCTCAAATTTGGGAAATGCTTTCAATTTGACCACCTTTCTAGCAGTAGCTGCACTGGAAAACGACTCTTGCAAGTCCTCAACTTTTGAAAGCTTTCCTTCATCCAGCACTTTGAAAAGGGAAAAACCAGCCGCCGTTCCGAACAGTAGAATCATTTTATCACGTTAAATAAACCTTAAGTTGGGACTAGTGTTGCAGCGTATAGTGTAGATGTAGCAAGATTCAAAATCGGTTTTGGGGATTTTGATTTGATGAGGGTTTTAGAGGCATAGAAAGAATGAGATTCATGCAAAGATGGTCAAGTAGGTGAGAAAAATAAGACCTTCCCTTCTCCTTCATAAAAAAAAATGGCGCCCCCTGTCTCTTGTTAGGTCAAAGACAAAATCCCTTCTCTTAATCTCTTGGACATGGGCTTAGATGAGAAAAGTGATATGGGCCTTGTGTTCTTTTTGATAATGGACTTGATTTTTATTTTGGTGTAAAAACCTCATGGATCTTCAATTGGTAAAGAAGCTTGGTATTTTGTAGATGGAGGATAAAAATGAATAAATGCAAATTGAAAATAAATATTGAACATGAACTTGGAAATCAAAATGAAATTGCAACTTGAATGTTAGAATTAACACTTGAATTTGAAAATAGATTGAATTGGAACAATCTTGGACTTTAGTGGATTATGAATTCAGCTGAAATGAGCCCAAATCATACTCCCAACTTTTCACCAACATCCGCTTGAATGCACACAGTTACCAGTGAACAACTTGTAACAACGGCAACCATTTGAATGAGCCAACGACTGAATCTCCAACTAAGAAAATCCTGAATCATCTTGAATTTGTCTGGATAAGTCTTTGGGAAAATAAATCCATAGAGGATCTCCATTTGACATGATGGGTTATGATAAACCTGACCTTCTATTCATGATGGGAAATAAACCATGATCCTGAGCCAGCTGGATATATGATTTCCAACAAACTTGAACCCAAGGACTCCTGATGCCTGATCGATCTTGAAGAATGTAAGATTGATACATGATGTGAAATTACAACAATAAGAATTCAACCCTCTGCCAAACTTGCATGAAAGCTTCTCAAAGAAAATAGGAAGACCTGATTCAGAGAGAACTCCTAATCCCATGTCTTAGAAAACCAATACAAAGCATGATTATGAACTATGACCTAATGAAGATGCAAATGAACGCAAAGCGAAAGCCAGGAAAGTTAGAAAAAGTGAGAGCAAATTTTGGGGTGCAACAATGAGGATCGTTGTTATTGACGGAACTCGGTAGAAAATAATAGGCGTGAAACAATAATTAATTTTGTTTTGGTTTTAGTCCTTTATGTTTTGTCATGAAAGTGAAAAGCAAACTAAGTTTCAAGGCGATAGCGCGAGAGTGTGAGGATTGAACCGGATAGTGGAAATTAGGCATCGATCCTAAAAAAAGTGAGAGTGCTTTAGGTATTGATTAGGATATAGTTGGTTTCTAAAATACGCTTCTTAATTAAAATGGGCGAGCGAGAGCAAAATCTCATGGTTAGGGAGCGTGGCTTTAGTCAATAGCGCGAGAGTGTGAGACAGAGTCTTTAAATTGAATCTTCTATAGAGCATAACTTAATTACATTTAGTGTCTAATTTACAGAGTCTCTGAGGAACACAGAATCCATATTCTGGCCTCTCCTTATTTTTATATTTTCTAAGTTTCATTTTAGTTTTCATTTTAATTCTGTTTAAACCAAGTAATCATTAACCCTAGCTTTGCATCACAACAATAAATAATAGTAGGTTGACATTAGTCTTTGTAGGTTCGACAATCTTTTATATTACTTCGATATTTTTGTGCACTTGCGGACGCATCAAGCTTTTGGCGCCGTTGTCGGGGACCAATAGTCAATATTGTGATTTCCTTGTTGCATCATATAGAGTAAGACACTCTTATCTCAATTACTATGTATCACCCGAATTTTCTCTATGAATACCACTCCCAATATTTTGAGGATTCGCAAGATCCCCCTAAATTCGACCTCAAAATATTAATGAAGGATTTCAATGCGACGCTAACTCACTCTTACCCAAATTTTCTCTATGATTACCACTCCCAGTATTTTGAGGAACCGCAAGATTTTCATAAATCCAAACTTGAAATACTAATGGAGAAATTCAATGCGACGCTTACTCACTCTATGATAGAATCTATGATGGAGTGCTTTGTGGAGACATAAACTCTCCAAAATGAAGAACTTAGAAAATAACATTTCCAAATTAATGAAAATATTAGGTAGATGAACATTGTGGTCGAGTCCTTCGTGACTCACAACGAGGCATTGGAGACTCAAATCTCCCTGCTTGCGCAGACACCTATAGAACTCTCCCCGGAGAGACATGTGGATGTTGTAACAACCAGTAGTGAAGAACAAATAAGAAATCCTAAGGAGAGTGATAATGAGGTTGAGGAGAGTTTTAGTGAGAAAAGAGTAGAGATTTAGAAAAATCCACCGACACCACCCGAATGGAGGTTGTCGAAAAGGTAGAGAAGAAAGCGTCTATTGTTGTTGTTCTTCCCTATACCCCACTGATTCCTTTTCTGCAGAGGCTTGTGGAAGCTAAGGTAGACTCCCAATCCAAAACATATGTGAAGATATTGAAAAATATCCACACCAACGCACCTTTGTCTGAGGTCCTGCATAAAACGAGAAAATTCGAGGACCATGAAACTAAAGATATCATTACTATCAAGAGGGTAAGGTTAACCTTTGAGGTGGTGGATGAAATAACTAAGCTCAAACTTGAAAAACTGATACTCAAGATAAATCCAGAACCACCACCACAAGTTCAAAAGAATAAACCACCCCACAGAAGGAAGAAAATAAAAGGTGAGGGATATGAGAGGTGGTTTGATAAGTGGTCATGGAAATTGAAGATTATTAAAAGATTGATCGAGGAATCATCCTCGAAAGAACCACCATGAGTGCTTGCACTCCTTAGTTGTCGAGCTATCAACGTTAAATGAAGCACTGCATGGGAGGCAACCCACGGGGTTTTTATTTTAAGTTTCTATGTTTGTTTGTTTGAATTTGAAGAAAATAAAGAGATGGGCCGCTTGTCACGTCTCAGCTACATCTAGGCGGAAAAATCTCTAGGTTTTACCCTCCAAATAATTTAATGATTTATAATGTTGTTGCTTTGAATTTTATTTTTACCATGCCCAAACTGCACTAATGTGCAAAAATTAGGAGATTTAGATCTATGACTCTGATGACAATCTTGGAGATGAGCTGGGGCCCACAGACATTCCTACGAATGTCGTTGCTGGTGGTGACACCGATGATGAGTATGATAGGAGAAATCATGTCTCTATCGTCCATAACTCACCTCTTCCTCGTTCTTCTCATGGTCAAGTTTCACTTGCACACACCACACCATATTTTTCTAACACTTTTGCAGGTACTTCCTCCAGAAGCGGGCAATATGATGAGCTAGTTCAAGAATTGCACAATATTATTCAAATTTCGATTGTGGAACCGTATCATTATTGCTGTTATTGTTGTTAAGGTGATCGTGTGCCCGTGTGGGGTGTGAGTGGTCACGGTGATCGTGTGCTCATGTGGGGTGTGAGCAATCACGAAAATCGTGTGCCCATGTGGGGTGTGAGTGACATTATGGAAATTTCGACGGGAATTGTGATCCTAAAATAGGGATCGAGTTCTGAAATAGGAATCAATGGTACCATATAGATTTAGTCAAGTTGTGAGTCTTAATGCATTGGATTTTAAATGTGTTTGTTGGTGTGTTAGATTTGTTGACGTGTTGGCTGTAACTGCTATTGTATGGTTGTATGTTGTGGAATGGGTGTTTGTGCATGAATAATCTAGTGCTCGCTTATTATCATGCCTTCCTTTATATAATTATGATATCTCACCCCTTCTGTTTGAATGTTTCCTTTACATGGGCATCGTACATATAATTCGCAGTATAGGAGTTGAAGTGAGTAGAAGATGAAGTCTTTTATTTTCCTTTTAGTGTCAGCGTCTGCTCTGATGTGTAACATTGGGGTCAGAGAACGTTGTGTTTTGGTGTGTTTGATAGAGATTTTTGGATATCTCTAGAATATTCGTTGTTTATGTTATTATGAAGAAGTTATTATGCCATGAATAATTGTTTATGTTGGTGCTTCCATTGTCTCAATAAAGTTTTGAGATTTCAGACATGTTGAGTTGTTATAGTTATTATAAATAATTTTTTAAATAAAGTGCATGTGTTACATATCTTGTTATATGAGTAGTTATAGTATGAATTGTGTGACATACTGAATATATTTTGATGAAATTACTCTAATTTATATTTAAATCGCGCGGGTCGTATTTGGGGTATTACATTAGTGGTATCAGAGCAGGTCGGTCTGCCCGACCAAGTTGTTGAGTCGTAGTGTTATGATATTTGAATATTGCCTTTGTTGTCTTCTAGCCATTGTTGTTGTTTATGGTGGGAAAACATAAATGGCTGGAAGGATCGATGCTGCTATTGATGTTGTTTTGTAGGTTGTTTGGAATCAGCCTAATGCTGGTGAAATGATGAGTTTCGTCACTTGGGAAAGTTCCAGAAGAACAACTCGCCTATTTTTAAGGGTAGGTATGATCCGGGAGGAGCACAAGCATGACTCAAGGAAATTGAAAGGATCTTTTAAGTGATGAGTTGTTCTAAAGAGCAGAAAGTACGATTTGGCACTCATATGCTAGCTAGGGAGGTTGATGACTGATGGGTCAACACTCGTCAGGTGTTGGGAATGTCAGGTGAAGTTGTTACCTGAGTTGTGTTTTATAGGGAGTTCCTGAGGAAGTACTTTCCTGAGGATATTCATGGGAATAAGGAGATTGAATTTCTAGAGTTGAAGTAGGGTAATCTGACCGTTACTGAGTATGCTGCCATATTTGTGGAACTTGTTAAGTTCTATCCGCATTATAGTGAGGTGACTGCTGAGTTCTCAAAATGTGTCAAATTTGAAAATGGTTTGTGTCCTGAGATCAAGCAGACGGTTGGATATCAACAAATTAGGAGATTTCTAGAGTTGGTGGATAGCTGTAGAATTTATGAGGAGTATAACAAAGCTCGGTCAGCTCATTATAAGAGTCCGAGTGAGAAAAGGGGAAAGCAAAATGTG